CCCTTTCCTTTCCCCTTTCCTTTCCTTTCCCCTTTCCTTTCTCCTTTCCTTTCCTTTCCCCTTTCCTTTCTCCTTTCCTTTCCTTTCCCCTTTCCTTTCCTTTCCCCTTTCCCCTTTCCTTTCCTTTCCCCTTTCCTTCCCCCTTTCCTTTCCCCTTTCCTTTCCCCTTTCCTTTCTTTTCCCCTTTCCTTTCCTTTCCCCTTTCCTTTCCCCTTTCCTTTTCTTTCTCCTTTCCTTTCCTTTCCCCTTTCCTTTCCTTTCCCCTCTCCTTTCCTCTTTCCCCTTTCCCCTTTCCTTTCTCCTTTCCTTTTCTGAGATACCACAGCGTATGTCATGCTAACGGACAGTTCCAGTAAAGAAGAGACAATTGATGATGCAGGAGAGTGAATAATGAATTGCTAGAGCAAAAGATATGGTGTGGAAAATAGTTATCACCTTTAAGTATGATTTGTGGCTTTTAAAATGTCATTTTTATGAGTAGATTTTAGATTGACTTAAGTTACACTTAAGTTCTTGAAGTTGTTACTCTGTATGAAGTGACTAAGATGTTTTTCAAAATTGGAATGTTTTAATTAAAATTTGGTTTAGATTTGGTCATACACCAGTACAAGCAAGACTCAGCTGCCTGGCCAGGAACAACTCTATCTATGTCGTGGCAAATATTGGGGACAAGAAGCGGTGTAATTCCCGAAACTCCATATGCCCTCCTAACGGCTACTACCAGTACAACACCAATGTGGTGTACGATGCAGACGGGAAGCTGGTGGCGCGGTACCACAAGGTGAGGGGCGGGTGTGTAAAGTGGAGGCTAAAACGATAGTAGGCCATACTGTGTCCAGGACACTGAGCGTCATTCCTATATGATAGTATGTGAGTGAAGAATTTTTTATGTAAGTGAATGATAAAGAAAATGACATTTTAGGAAAAAGATAATCTGGAAAAAAATGTACACAGGGACTCATTGGTAAAATGTTGGAATGGTTCAGGATTGAGATAATTTATGTGTGTCTATATTATATATATACAGACATTTACACCCGTGTATATATAAAGTAATTTTAATATTGATGCAAAAGATACCCAAGTGATTGTAATCTGGATACTACTTAATATTGAAATGGTATAGGCTCGGTGCCCATAGCTTGGTAAGTAAGGCGCCTGCCACCGAGGCAGGTTTGAGCCTGGCCTGGGCCAGCTAAACAACAGTGACAACTGCAACCAAAAAAATAGTCAGGCGTTGTGGCAGGCACCTGTTGTCCCAGCTACTTGGCAAAAGAATTGCTTGAGCCCAAGAGTTTGAGGTTGCTGTGAGCTGAGATGCCATGGTACTCTACCGAGGGAGACGTACAAAGACTCTTGTCTCAAAAAAAAAAAAAAAGGGTGGCGCCTATGGCTTAAAGGAGTAGGGCCCTGGCCCCATATGCTGGAGGTGGTGGGTTCAAACCCAGCCCTGGCCAAAAACTGCAAAAAAAAAATTGAAATGGTATAGAGATGTTTCAGATTTGTATGAATCTGTTTCACATAAGTTAATTTGATGAAAATACTTTTTTCTATACCAATTAATTTAATTATCTTTTTGTAGATTTAAATTGAAAGCATAAAAAAGTTTTACTATAGGGGCTCAAAGGAGTGGGCCCGGCCCCATATGCTGGAGGTGGTGGGTTCAAACCCAGCCCTGGCCAAAAACTCCAAAAAAAAGTTTTACTATAAACTCAGAATTGAAAAAAGAGTAAATCACCCTCAAGTCATCATTGTATACTACACTGGGAGGGGAGAAAGGCCAGCCTTTCATGTGGTTATGGGATGTATGTGCAGTGTGACTGTCCTGACTTCTCTCCTTCACTGTAGCCAAATCTTTTACTGACTTTGGGGGGTCTTATGAGTCATGTCTTCAATAAACAAGCCTTTACTAGTTATTTTGTGTACTCGGTACAGTACCACCTCTACTCTGAGCCTCAGTTTGATGTACCTAAAGAACCGCAGTTGGTGACTTTCAACACCACCTTTGGAAAGTTCGGCATTTTCACGTGCTTTGATATACTGTTCCACGATCCTGCCATTACTCTGGTGAAAGACTTCCAAGTGGATACCATACTGTTTCCCACAGCTTGGATGAATGTTTTGCCCCTTTTGACAGCTATTGAATTCCATTCGGCTTGGGCAATGGGAATGGGTGTTAATCTCCTTGCGGCCAACGCACATCATGTCAACCTAAAGATGACAGGTAATTCATGGCCAGGTTAGATTTCATCCTGTATTCCTAAATGCAGGAAAACTAATGCCTCAGATATGACTTGTGGTAAATTTTTGCTTCTTTATTTGAATTCCTCACTGTTTGACATTTTTGATAGGAAAAAAAAAACAATCAATAAAAACAAAGCTAGTGCTGTGATTTTCCTAAGAGTTTTATGTGTATTATTTCATTTGATTCTGACCACAGTCCTGTGAGATGGGTAGTACCAGCCCAGTTTTACAGGTGAGTAAACCGAGACACAGGAAGTGCAAGTCTGAATAGCTTGCCAAGTGCTACTGAGCTAGTAAAAGGCAAAACAGGGAACTGAGCAGAGATCTGCTCTAAACTGGCAAAAGCAGACTGGACTATTGGTATGATGCTGTATAACAATTACTTGAAAAGTTAAAGTAAATGTGGCTTAAAACAACAAATATCAGAGCCTGTAGCTCAATGAGTAGGGCGCCTGCCCACATACTCCAGGGCTGGCTGGTTCCCACCTGGCCCTGGGCCTGCTAAAACAACGACAACTGCAACAACAACAAAAATCTCCAGTGTTGTGGTGGGCACCTTTAGTCCCAGCTACTTGGGAGGCTGAGGCAAGAGAATCACTTAAGCCCAAGCGTCAGAGGTTGCTGTGAGCTGTGACTCCAAGGCACTCTACCCAGGGTGACACCTTGAGACTCTGTCTCAAAAACAAACAAATATTTATTGTCTCACGGTTTTGGTTGGTCAGAAATCTGGGAGTGGCTTAGCTGTGTGGTTCTGGCTCAGCCTGGCTGCTCAGATGGCATCAAGTTATTGGCTGGTCTAGCAGTTCCCTGAAAGGGTCACTGCAGCTAGCAGAGCTGCTTCCAGAAAGGCTCACTCCCTTGCCTACCATGTTTTATTCATCAGAAGTGATTCCCTAAGTCTAGCCCACACTTAAGGGAAAAGGAATTAGATCCACCTGTTGGAGAGAGGCGTGTTGAAGAACTTTTGGGTGTGTTTGTTAAGTACCACAGTTGGGTATAGGAGAGAATTTTGCATTACTTTTCTCCACCTTTCGGGGAGTCCCAAATACAAAGGTTTTCTTTTTTGTTTGTTTTTTGAGACAGAGTCTCATGGTATTGCCCTCAGTAGAGTGCTGTGGCATCACAGCTCACAGCAACCTCAAAGTCTTGGGCTTAAGCAATTCTCTTGCTTCAGCCTCCTAAGTACCTGGGGACTACAGGCGCCCACCACACATGCCCAGCTCTGTTTTTGTTGCAGTTGTCATTGTTGTTTAGTTGACCCACGCTGGGTTCAAACCCTCCAGCCTCTGAGCATCTGTCCAGCACCGTAACCACTATGCTACAGGCACTGAGCCTACAAAGATTTTTACATTTGGTTTAATTTTCCTCAATGCTAATAAATAATGCTAATATACTCAATGTATATTTGAAGTGGAGCCGTGAATGTCTGTTTTGATCTCCTCCAGTAGAGAATAAGAAACGTCCTTAGGTGTTTCATGTGACTAGTGGCACATGGGCTCTCCCATTGTGACTAATACTGTGATGACGTGGTCATGTGCCCAATTTTGATGGGGAATATTGACAGTTATTGGTATTTTTTGTGGTGTTGTCTCCCATTCACAGGGAGTGGTATCTATGCACCAGACTCTCCCAAAGTGTACCATTATGACATGAAAACAGACTCGGGAAGGATCCTCCTTTCAGATATGGCTTCACACCCCCGACTGTCTCCCACCTACCCAGCAGCCGCCAACTGGAGTGCCTACGCCACCACCATCAAACCATTCCCAGTACAGAAAACCACTTTTGGAGGATTTATTTCCCGGGATGAGTTCAACTTCACACAACTTTTTGAAAATGCAGGAAATCTTACAGTCTGTCAAAAAGAGCTCTGTTGTCATTTGAGCTACAGAATGTTAGAAAAAGAAGAGAATGAAGTTTATGTCCTAGGGGCATTTGCAGGATTACACGGCCGACGAAGAAGAGAGTACTGGCAGGTAATCTCAGCTCAAGTGAGAGTATGAGGTGATAGTAAATTCTGAGTTAACTTTACATATCTGTTCTAGAAAATCAAGTGCTTTCTCTTGGCATGATTCTATGAATCAACAATATTGCACACACACAATATACACAGAGGAATTAATCAAGTATCTGCAGTGAGAAGTATATCTGATTGTTTTGAGTACATTAGAAAAGATATTAATCCAACCACGATGACTTAATTTGAACCAGTTTGCCTACTGTGGTGAACTTCAAGAAGTCTTCCTTAACTGGGGTTGCTGACAACTTTGAATATAAAGTCTATTTACACTCTTAAAACCAGCAGTAGCTGGTTCACTCTTAAAACCTGTAGCTCAGTGGCGAGGGCGCCAGCCACATACACCAGAGCTGGCAGGTTTGAATCCAGCCCAGGCCAACTACAACCTAAAAATAGCTGGGCATTGTGACGGTGCCTGTAGTCCCAGCTACATGGGAGGCTAAGGCAAGGGAATGGTTTAAGCCAAATAGTTTGAGGCTGCTATGAGCTGTGACGCCATGGCACTCTACTGAGGATGACACAGTGAGACTCTGTCTTAAAAAAAAAAAAAAAAAACTAGAAATGAACAGGAATACCACTTGTCTTAGTTTGTCTTCAAGTTAGATGTCCTAGTCTTTTTATTCCCTTCAAATGACTGATTTTAAAGATGCAAACTTTTTATAAAGGGTTGGTTATGAAATTGTATTTTCTTCTTAAATTCTATGTCCCCCATCATCTTCTAAAGAAAACGATATGGGAGATCCTTTTGTAGTTCATCAAGATGGTTGGGTTTTCACGTGCATGCGTGAGATGTGCCTCCCACAAGTCTTGTTATGAGGTCAGCACATTACCCATCTGACATGAAAAAAATACATATACTAAAAAAAAAAAAAAAAAAAAAGATGGGCAGTACTTGTAGCTCAAGGAGTAGGGCACCAGCCCCATATGCTGGAGGTGGTGGGTTCAAACCTAGCCCTGGTCAAAAACTAAAAAAAAAAAAAAAAAAGAAAAAAAAAAGGAAAGGATATGGGAAAGTGCAGGAGTGGTCAAAATTTTAATCATCCTTTCTGCATCAATACTACTATTGCCCAAAGACCTCTATTTCCTTGGGCTCAATGCCATTATCTGACATACCAAACTAATGGTGTAAGTCTAATTCTACACTGAGTTCTTTCTTTTAATTCACTTGTTATCGGAGAAGTGGGTTGGTTCTCAAATCATTTGTGATTTCTGGTAAAGCAGGTAATTATAAGAAACATGATCCAAATTCTTTTTTTGAAGAAAGAAAATTTTGCCTTCTGTGGTTAAAAACCAAGTCAACAGGTGTAGCCCCATTAAGTCAGATGTCAGGCAGGGAATTTTATCTGCGTCTGCTCCACACAGGTATGCACGATGCTGAAGTGCAGAACTGCTAATCTGACAACTTGTGGACAGCCAGTGGAAACTGCTTCTACGAGATTTGAAATGTTCTCCCTCAGTGGGACATTTGGGACAGAGTATGTTTTTCCTGAAGTGCTACTTAGTGAAATTCACCTGTCACCTGGAAAATTTGAGGTAAAAGGATTTTGCGAGTATTTTCATTTTATATGTTCTTTGAAGGCAGGTAAGACAGGGCACGGCAAGTGTACTGGTTAACTTTTGCTGTGTAACAGACCTCCTGAAAACATCCTGACTGTAAATAACGGTCATTTATTTAACCCTGATTTTGTGGGCTGACAACTTGAACTGCGTGCATGTAGGCTGTTTTTCTGGTCTGAAATGGATTGAATTGATGTTGCCTGGGCCCATTGCACCTGCCATGACCCTGTGGGTGGGGAGGGGCTGACTGGTATGTGACAGACCTGTCTTTGACAGTGGGGATGATTGTGGTCATCTCTCCCTGGGCTTGTTCACATGTTATTTGAAAGCATCAAAGAGCAGCAAGAGGAGAAACCATAAGGGGCAAGTTCTTTGCAAGTCTCTACTTGCCCCATATGTGTGAATGTCTCATCAACCACAGCAAGTCACAAGAGCAATGCAGTTTCAAGCAAGAGAGAAATAAATGGCCCAGATATCTCAATGGGAAGAGCCATAAAATCACATTGCAAAGGGCATGGGTAAATGGAAGGAAGATGGGTAAATGGAAGGAAGAGGTGGTGACAATGTTTGCATTTTTTTTTTTTGCTACTGACATAAAGTGAAGACACTTCATCAGAATAACACAACAACTAATGTAAACAACTACGAGTGTGAGGTGCCATTCATTGAAAAATGTTTGTTTACAGATGTTTAATGTCCTTTTGTCACATGTGGAGAAAAATAGAATATAGGATGTCTATTTCACAAATTATAGTGGCTGTAGCCAATGAATCCTCAAATTAAGCTGGTCTCAAATTAGAATTATGACTCTGCAGGTTTGTATCTGCTAGTACATGATACACACGCACACACACACATGCCACTGGTCTGGATGTTAATGTCTCATCTGAATTGTGGCAACCAGTGGCAGAGTTTCAGTAACCAAGGTGAAATCATTGCTTAGGCTATAAAGAGAAACAGGGTTGAAATGAATTCATCCATAACATCAAGGCCACATACACCTGGGCTGGCAGGCTCAAAGCCAGCTCAGGCCTGCTAAACAGCAATGACAACTGCAACAAAAAAATAGCCGGGCATTGTGGCCCGCACCTATACTCCCAGCTACTTGGGAGGCTGAGGCAAGAGAATCACTTAAGCCCAAGATTTGGAGGTTGTTGTGAGCTGTGACACAGCACTCTACTGAGGGTGACATAGTAAGACTCTGACTCAAAAAAAAAAAAAAAGAATAGATTTGCTTAGCTGGGGAGCAATGAACTGTCATCTCAAGAAGGCTTCCCATTGGTAAGTCCTCTCAAGAGTCAAAATTATGGATCAGAAGGTAGTTTTGTGAGCAAAGACTTAAAAGGAGTTGGGATCCCAGAAAAGATTTCTAAGAAGACATTATAGCCTGAGGCAAGGTGTTTTTCCTCCTTAGAGCTAGTGATATACTGATTATGTAGGATCATAGTGACTTTCCTCAAAAAGAGCCAAATAAACAGTTATCAACACTTGAGTTTTTGAGTGCTTCCCTCTGTAGAGACCTTGCAGACCTTCTGCTAACATTGTTTCCAGAGAGACCAGTTCTAACACTGTGGATGACAAGTTTTTCACATCAGTCATGCTCACATTGTCTTCTTGGGTATTTCTCTAGTTCTGTTGACTGATGGGCACTCCTTTAGCAAATATTTGCACATTATCTTAGAGGATCAGTATGGCAGACATTTCAACACACTTACTTATTGTGTATCCTTCCTCATCCAACTCTCCCGTTTTATACTAAAAGGGTGGAGTGTTACAGACCATGCCAGGAACTTTGGAAACATCTCCCTTTATCACCTTAGGCATCTCTGAGGTATTGTTTACATCTACCTAATTGTGTAACCTTGGAAAATTCACTTAGCCTCTGAATTCCCTATGTTATAGGAGAGTACACCTTTGTCACTGATTTGGTGAAGGTACTTTGTTAACAGAGAAGCACAATAATCTTCTAGGCTAGTTAATTTTCTTCTTCCAGTTTCCTAAAGTACCTTTTTTCCCAATTTCTAATTTCTTCCCTATCCAACTGTCCTTGCTACAACTGATGAGTCATTTTCCTTTATTCTTCTTCTATCTACTGTCTGTCTACTCATCTTTGTTTCTATTCTTACTCAATCACTTTTCACAGAGCACCCTCTGTGGCTTTAGGATAGATCTAGTCATTCGTGGCTTTCACAATCCCATCCCCATCTTCCTCTGACCCCATGGTATCTTCTCTTCTTCACTAATCTTCATCTGTAAATTGTAATGCTTTCTGAGACATAGAAGAAAAAGCCTTGATTTGTGGCCTTTGCCAATTTTCATGGTGTAAATATTCCCACCATGATCAATTTCAAGAATGGCTGTGTTTAGCAAGCAGCTGTCACATTCCTGGAAAGTTAGCAACCTGTTCCCATGAGCCTGCATACCACTGGCTGTGGCACACCCCTGGTTCTAACCAAACCAGAGTGACAAAGGGTGTTACCTAGACCTGTCACGTACCCTCTTGTCTCAGAACGGGCCTTTGCTGCTTCAATTCCCACTTCCCACGGTGTCTTTGGCCACACAACCCTAGGAAGAATTCCTAACTGTTGTTTTTGTGGCAGGTTGTGTCTCTCTGGGAAGCAGACCAGTGCGGCCCTTTCTTTCTCAGACCTCCTAAGCACATGTCTGCTTCCTCTCTGATGTACTCATCAACTGATTTCTCTCTGGATGTTTAGAATCAGCTCCGTTTCATCATTAGCTTTTAAGTTTCTTGAGAAAAGTGTGTGATGTGTCCCTCTCTGGTTTCTGTTTCTCTTGCACATAATTGGTGCAATGAATTATTGCTGCTGATTTTGACTCTTCATTCAGGGTTCCACTCAGTGGTTGAAACTCAATTCTTAGGCCTTCGTGAATTGCTCTAGTCTTGGTTACATAGAAAATAGCTGTTTCTTGCTTGTCTTACTGCTTCTTCCCTCCTCAAGCAGGAATTGTGTCTAGAATGATTTCAAAATCATTAATCATTAATCTTTTAACATGTATTTTAATGAAGCTGACTGTACTTTTCTTACCTTTTCCTTAGGTGCTAAAAGATGGGCGTTTGGTAAACAAGAATGGATCATCTGGGCCTATCCTAACAGTGTCACTGTTTGGGAGATGGTATGCGATGGACGCACTTTACAAATCCCGTGGGACCAGCAATTCCGCAATGATTTACCTGCTGATGATCACATCATTAATGACTGTAACCTTGTACAATGTGGTGATGGTGTAGCACACCTGTTTATCACATTTATTTTTTGTATCGTATACTTTGCTAAATGCATTTATCAGGTTTCTACATTTACCAAGAAATTTGTAAGGGCTATATTAGTAGTCCCTAAATGTTTGGTTTTCTTTCTTATCAGGATTATCTTTAAATATTATGGTAATTTTGTCTGTTTTTTGGCAATGCTGAAATGTTGCCGTGAAGATCAATGGAAAGAGAATGGGTGATGGGGCCAGATAAGTGGGGATCAAATCCCAGCTCCAGCCTCATTTGCTGTGAGATCCTATGTGTGTAAGAGGGTGCAGCATGAAGAATTTCAGAGTCATTGTAAACACAGCTATGCCGGTGAAGAAAAGAGTAATGATGGGAATTCACAGGTTTATGATTAAATTTGCTTTGACATTATGGACAATTTGAACTCATCTAGTTTTTTGTGCTAATTTGCTTTCCAATCAGAAAGCAATGTTGAAGTTTATCTTCACTGGGTAGGCTGTTTTGAATATGTTCTAGAAGAAATGCCAACGATTGGGAGGTGCCTGTAGCTCAGTGGGTAGGGTGCCGGCCCCATAATACTGAGGGTGGTAGGTCTGAACCCGGCCTGACCAAACTGCAGTAAAAAAATAGCTGGGCGTTGATTCGCTTGCCTCAGCCTCCCTAGTAGCTCGGACTACAGGCTCTTGCCACAACAGTTTGTTTAGCAGGCCTGGGCCAGGGTCGAACCACCAGTTCTGGCATATGTGGCTGGTGCCCTAACTACTGACCTTTGGGCCCCCAGCCTGTGCTCCTTTCTCTTTTTATAAAATATGGACCATTTCATATTTGCCAGGTTTTATCTGAGGCAGTTAGATGGTGTGCAGTGTTTTTTTCTGTGTATATCACGGCTCTTGGACAACCATGTTGCCCTTCCAAAAGATGAGATGTTGATGAAATCAGCAGCTGACCTTTGGTTTGAGGAAGATACCAGCAAGGAGTGCCTCGCAGCTTCTAAGGACAGTTCATCCTCTCATTCAAGCTTCCAGCTGTCAGTTGTGCATCTATT